GTATCTACTTGTCCAATAGACTAAGTACAGCCAAAAATGTCAGCTCCCCTGGCTCACCCTTCCTGAAGCACAGCGACCGACACGCCTGGCAGCAACACAGAGCAGTAAAACCACAGATCCCAGGTCGCTTTAGAGCTGCTGCTGGTGCAAAGCAACTTACTTATTTGGGAGTCAACTTTTTTTTTTTTTTTGAGAATATTTTCCCTAATGCTTCTTTTAACACAGGAAGCATCTCTATTTTCTCACCTACTGCACCTAGAGGAAGTATTTAGGGGGGTTGTTTTAAAAATTAAGGAGTTTGGGAGGGCTTTCTTGTTGTTGAGTTGGGTTTTATGGCTGAAGATTTCCAACTGTAGGAGCAGAAAAGAACTCTACAAGTTACTTTTCAAAGAATATTGTTAGCTTTATATATTTTGGAGTTATAAATAGCTACATTTTCTAAGAATAAACTGGAAATTATGTTAAGCATTCCACTAACAGAAGCTAGAAGCTACACTGAAACAGCAGATCCCATTTCTAGATCAACTTTCCTAATTCTGCTTTTCAACCCCTTTCTGCAGCAGGACCTTCAGTGCCTACCTTACTCATTCTGTAAACAGTCCTTTCCCTTGAAAGCTGAGCAACGCAAGGATTCCACAGCAAGAATAAGGACCTAACATATGCTGTGCTACAAGCATGCAGCACCTGGACCTTGCTCAGCTGTTCTCCATCCTGCAAAGGTCTGACTCTGAGTGACAGGATGTGCAATCAGGTTAGATTCCACCCCACCACATATCCACCACCGAAAAGCAGCTCCCACAATAAAAGCCAAGGAAGAAAGCAGCAGCAAAGCAATTAATTAGCAGCGCTACAGGATGGTCTAGCTTTGGAGAGAACATTTCTGTCTTACACGATAGGGTTACCATAACACAGCTGTTAAAAACCTGACATTAGGAGGTTCACTCTTACTGTACTTTCACCTCTTCCCTACCAGGTAAATTTAAGAGAATAGAATACTAATCTAAATCAATCCCTAGCTGTTATCTCAAATTTCTTTTTAGAGGGCAATGCAGCTCTTAGGCAGCTACAGTAACCTGGCTGGAGCTACCAAACAGGGTTTGGCATAGCCTGGCGGGTGCTGAATCCCACTTGGAAGTTCTCTCTGACCCATCCCAAGGGTCAGCTGTACTGCTGGCGGAAGTAGCAGCTGATCACTGTGATGCACAGACTGAGCAATGCTCTTGTAAATAAAAAAATACCTTCAGAAAAAGTAGAAATATATTTAGGAGGGGAGAAAGTACCAGACCCGCTTGTAGTAAATTTGATAGCAAGACCTCAGGAATCCAAGCCTCAAGACAGGACTTAAGTACTGCCTTAACCTGCCAGGCTTTGCCAGCATCCAACACATGCTGGCAATTGCACAAGACTGAGCACTTTTAGTTGAGGAATATCTTGCACATCTCTTACCACGCAAAACTAACAGATCAGTAATTTTGTAATCTGTACAGACAAAACACTCCCTTGTGTCTACCTCACAGCACATAGAGTTAGGAATGGAATGCAACAGCAAGTGCTAAATCAATAAAAATTTCAGTCGAGCCCAATGAATGAAGTATACTCTATACTCATAAATGAAAATGATCTTTTAAGGATTTTTTTTTAAAAATATGTGTTTTCAGCACTATTTAATTTTTATTAAATTTATACCACTTCCCTTTCAGAAGTGCTATGTCATTCTAGAGTTCCAGTTCACTTTTGTTTTTCTTCTCCAGAGAGGAATTCAAAAATTTTGTTTACCTAGAGCATGGATATTATAGTTTAAACATTTCGTACAACGTCCTTTGTGCAGACATAATCACACACAGAAATTTACTTAAACATTAGGGTTTAGATAAATATAGCATTTAGATAAATATAATCCATAGCTCATAGTTTAATCACTTCAAGAGCAGATTTCAATTAAAGACTAAAAGTAGCAGAGAACAACAAAGCAAGAGGAACCCAAGACTAGATCAAGTCCAAGAGGTTTCCACATTTATTGCTTGATTTGTCCCTACATCAGCGTTCCCAGAGATTTCACCTGAAATTAAGGAGTGAACGAAGTCTTTGAACCATATGAAGTCCCTTATTTCTCCTTTCCTTCCACTGTCTAGAAGGATTACTGCCAGATACCTTTGTGCCTCACCATCCGTACATCTTCAAGTGAAACACCAACCACTGCTTTCCAGGGTTTTTTGCCCGACTAGAACAAGCAAAGATTCAATTTTCCTTTCTCCTGCTTATGAATTGTAGACAAAGTGACTACTTTTGACTACTGCAGTCAAAGTCATCTCCTGCAATGCAACGACTAGCTGCCAGGAGAGGTGGTATGTGGAAAAGTGGAAAAGCAAGCGGTGGGAGGACTAAAACATCATCTCAGGACACTTGAGACAGCCACCATCTTGGTTCAGAACCAGGGGCACAAAAAGAACGCTACAGACCCAAGTGTAAGAGTTTGTCTGATTATTAGATGCTGCAAGAAGAATGAGGCAACAAAAACTAAGAGGCAGGAAAAAAATCTGAGGCAATTTAAAGTGTAATAGAACAATAAGACAAATGAAAATATTTCACTTTCACAACAAGTTTAATCTCAAGATCCTTTCAACCTGCACAAAGCCTGAACTTAAAATACATACTTAAAGTGGAAAAAAAGCTGACCCTGCAGTTTCAATATGTAAATGTCTACTGTGCTCTGTGAACAGTAATCTGGCATTCCTTAGTAACACCAACACTGGATTAGTCAGAAACGACAACTACGTATCAACTACATAGTAGAGAAACACTGAAAATCCGTTAATAATTTGTTTTGGGTTTTCTGTCACATCCCAGAACAGGACTTTTCTACTACGATGTGAAAAATCTTGATGGGGTAGACATCCTGACAATGCAGCTACAGACAAAACAGCTCTAATACAATTTACTTCACGACAATATTCACAGCTGCATATTGCACAGTGTAAGTGAAAATAAAGAACTGTGCGCACTGAAGTGCTGTCCAAGCCAAGATTCAGCCTTTAATGATACTGAAACCAGGTTTATGAAGAACAATTTTCAGTCTAACTTCAGACTGGAAATTAAGTTGAAAGAAGACTAATCAAGATCAGATACAGTTTAAGTAAAATTAATGGTACCAAGGTTGAAGTAAGCTTTACGATCACAATAATTTCAAGTTTACAGAACAGACTCACAAAGCAATGGCCATTCCATAAAGTTATGTGCATTCAACAGCAAAATAAAAGCAAAAGAGCTTAGCAGCATATGATGGTATAAACCAAAACTGAACAGAAAATTTAGCTTACAGCTTTGAAATCCTCCAAGTTACATACTTATTTCACAATAACGATCCAAGCATACAGATAAATACAGGTACTAAACAGCAAAGTTTCTACAAAGCAACTCTCATTTTTAAGCTGATGAATACACCAGCTCTTCTAAAACAGGAACAGCAGCAACCTGGTATACATATAAATGAAATGGCACATATCAGAAACTTAGTTGTCCAACAGTTTTTTCATTTCAGTGAATCCATCTGGATTTCCATACTCATTTAAAAGGAAGAATAGGATCCGTTCATGCTTTTTAAGCTGTGGAATAAGCAGAAAGAATTAGTAATATACAATTCTTTTTTTTTTTTTTAATTACTGATTTCAGATTAGGGTAGATCCTAAAACCATAAACTCAAAGTCCCATATTAGTTCAATAAATGTGCAAATCCTTTCTGCTGTAAAACCTTCTGGAGGGGGAAAAAAGCCAGTGAAAATGTAGCAAACTTCCCCCAGCCCCCCACTTCTTTTTTTTCCTGAAGAAGAAACTTTCTTGAACTAAACTGATGAAATACTCAAAGTAGGACTGAGATCAGGATCTTAAATTTGGTTATTCACACATGTCTATTTCCTGATGTTTTCAGTTATATTGGAATCTTCTGTCTTCTCTTCTGTCTGTTATGAGACTTTGAGCCAAACTTATCCAAGTAAGGAAGGATGACAGAAAACAGAAAGTGACCAAACTGAAGTCAGAAGAGATATTAGCTAAATCAAACTGGAAGATCAGAGAGATATAGAGGAGGAAAGGAGAAGAGGTTCGACAGTAGGACAGAGAGATTGACCATGGTCAGGAGTTCTACTGCCTTTCTGCCACTAAACTGCTGATTCACTTACTCTGAAGCAGTAAAGGTCTAAATGGCCTTGAACAGATACGCTCTTTTCCTACCTCCAAAATATCACAGTGCGTATTTTTGCTTTTGACCTTGCTGCCTCTGGCTAGAGAGTGAAGGGGAAATTTGAACCACCATTGAAAGGGGTTTTTGTCTTTAAAATCCAAAATTTTGCTCCTTCTTCTGGCAAAGACCCTCACTTTGAGAAAGGCTGATGCATCTTTTCTGGTATACTTTAAGTTATTTTTAGTAATTGAAAGTTCTAATTTTTCATAAACAGTCTAAGTTAAAATACAAAATGAGAAAGCTTAAAACCAGGAAGCTTTACAGGACTACGCCATATCCATAAAAGACACTTCATTTTTTTCAAAAGCAAAAAAAAAGAAATCTTGCAACTGGCAAACATTGTTACAAATTCCAATATTCTACTGAATTCAGGCTCTCAGCCCTAGCTCCATGACTCAAACTGTGGCACATACTAATTTTAAGCTCTGCTACCTGAAATACACATTGTAAGAATTTTCTTCTATGTGCAGCTGTCGACCAAGTTGTATCCACAGCCATATTACTGAAAAAAATCCAGCTGCCCTTTGTCCAAATGACACAGTTTATGCAAAACACCACAACTGCCTTTACACAGCAGACAAAAGTAACTCTCCTGAGCCTTCATAGTCTAAGGAGAAAAAAAAAGGGAAAAAAAAAAAAGCTGTATGTGTGCCAAAACACAGACTAATGAAGTCTGTGTGACATATACGCTATCCTCCCCCAGTTTCAGGGTGCTCTAATTATTACCACATATAAAACAAACTGAGAAAAAGCATTGGGATATTCACTTTGCATATTCCTCAGTGTTTCTGTTAGCTATTATATCCCTCCTCCCATTTGCTTCCCACATAGGGTTTCTTTTAAATTCTAGAAATGTAAAAAAGTGCATATTGCTTGGACTGAGTCTTACTTGCATTTTTAATTCTGTGCAGCAGCATTTGGTCTCACCTCCATTGCCTACAAAAAACAAAGCAAACAAATGAGCAAAATACACAACACCACTGCTTCCTTAATTTAGGAGGTGATGTGGCATTCTCTAATATTTTTAGGAGGAAACCTCACGGGCATCCCACAAGCCAACAGTTCTTCAAATTAAGTAATTTGAAGTAACTAATTGAAAGCGTGTACCTTGATGTTCAGTATGTAAGTTTTCAGCTCCGCAGGATTTGACCAAACCTTCCTTTACCAGTTTGTCAGCTACATTCAGACTACCATTTTCACCAAGTTTCTCCACTGTTACTAAATTAACATTTCCATTAATCCCTTTCCTTGTAATCGTGACGTATTTATTCAGTAACATTTCTTTCAACTTGTCAAGTAATAACGGAGACCACACAGCTTTCTCTATTCCTGCAAAACAAAAATAAATAGTACAATCAAGTTTGTTCTATAAAAAAATTCCTTTGTGATATGACTTGAATCTTACATGTAATGCTATCACTGTTTTTGAAAAAATGATGCTGTTTTCCTAATATAAATAGCTTAGATTGCACAGACAATTAACAAAAACAGCTTTCACAGTATTAACCAGTACACTATTTCAGCAGATCATTATGCTGTTTATCAGTATTAAGGAATGAACACTATCATTAGAATATGTATAGATTTATAACATTCAAGAAAACCAGTTAGGGTTTTTTTGGGGGTGGTTTTGGTTTTTTACCTGCAAGTGAACATATAATTGTCTGAAAAGGCAGCTTTAAGTAGGAATCAGTGATTGGCAGCACCCTTGAAAGTGGTAAAGTTTCTGTGTTCCCATAGTCTGCATATAGTACTGTCACTTCAGATTGAGAAGCTTTCAGAACAAGAGCTCTGTACCAATGGCCATCATCTGAAAAGATTGGGACAAGAAGAATCACATGTGAAGTACCATTTTTTAAACACAGCTTATCCCAAGAACAAGAAACCTGTAGAGTTTTCCAGGAATTTTTAAATACTCTGGTGTATAAAAAGTCCACTTGACAAGAAGCAAGTCCATAGAACAAGGGAATAGTTTCTGATTGCTGTATTCATAAAGATGTGAGTGTTGCCTTCAGAATTTTGTTCAAATTATACAGATAAGATTTTTACTACAATACTGTTTTAAAGATGTCTGTACACTGTATTTCTAACTCCTTACCTTCATTTTCCAATGTATATTCCCTCTCAAAACATAACCAAAATTAAAAAGCAAAAAAATTATCCTTTTTCCCCTTCAGTTATCCTGAAGAGCCATAAACACATACACAAAAAAGAAAAATATCAGTAGAAGTTAAAAACAACTGTCAAGCACTTAGGTATATCCTTCTGGTCTGCCTAATATTTTTAATTCATCTATTCTGTTTTCCATGAGCTGTTACCTGATCTCACACCCCAGTCCATTTTCAGCACTTAGCCACATCTCCTGTATCAATCCACATGTGGCCAACATTTATGAGTCAACGCTACTGTTTTAAAAAAATATTGAAGTAATATATTAGTAGAGTATCCCCTCTTCTGAAAGACTAAAACAATAAATTAATTTTTCTCACTGTTAAGCATACTTTTGACTTGAACTAACAGTTTGCTAAGCCTGGACAGCCTTTTAGGCTAACAAGGCTGAACAATCACTTGGTTACAGCCAGTGTCTTCGCCCCATGCTTGCACAAAGTAACAACAAAAAAACACCCAGGCACCCACAAACCAGAAGTGGGTCTGTATAGATGCAAGGGCGCTATTGCTCTGCCATGAACTTCATGCCCTTGTGAATCAAACACGAACAAACTTCAGTTTAAACAGTCACTAGTTTTCTTTCCTCTTAAAGCTCCACACATTTGCATTTTCTCTCTCAGACTGCCAGCTGGTTTCTCTGCCCTAAATATGCAGGCAGCCTATCCTTTGTAATCAATATAAGAGATCTGTAAGCGCTTTAAAGTTGGTGGTTTTCCTTTTTCTAAAGTAAAAGTGAAAGTCATGTTTTACACTGGTCAAGGAAATATAAGAATGAATGATTGCCTCACCTGAAAACCTGGCACAACAGGCTTCACCCTCTTCTGGTTTGAAGGGCTGGTTCTTACAAGATTTACAATAGCCTTCTAGTTCAATGAACAGCTTATGTAGCTTCTCTTGATCTACAGAAAAAACATTTGATAGCTAACCACATTTGGGTATCATGAACAGCATACTCAACTTAAAGCTCTCCTGCTCCCACCTTTGGCATTTTTTATGTTTTTCTACTGTCTGAGCTACATTTTCACATGGTTTAGTTCACTATAGGCATTCATTTTATTAACTAGCTTGCAACAGTGACTTCTTACTGCTTATTAGGAACAGTGAATGCTTTTTCTTACCTTTAATTTGAACTGGTACAGCATAGAACAAATCTGGGCCTACAACTTCTGTTACACAGACCGATACCGGTTCATCTATCGCCAATTCAATAGATTTCCAGTGCCCGAGTGAGGTTTCTAACAGAAACAGTAAGAAAATACAGTGTCCCACTTTCCTCCAAGCACAGACATATTATAAGTAACTGTTACAGAGTATCTTTTTGAATGTTAGAGACATCTGCATGTCTTCACTTCAAGAAGAGAAATCTAAACCAAGATAATTCTTGCTTAATTTACTGTCCATAAACTACTAGCATATGAAAATAGCTACAGTTAAAAAAAAAAACACAAAACACCACCTTGGAAAAATAAGATACTGGAAAGTAAACATGGGAAAAATTCCAGTCATAGCAACTTTGTAACTCTCTACTGTCAAATATTCAAATAGCATTACTTTAAAACAAACCAGTGATTTTTAGCTTCCTCTTTTTGTCTGTACCGCCACCTGCAGGGCAGCTTGTGTTTAACTGTAAAAACTGACAATGTGGGCAAAACTATGCATGTTTATTATCGATACTCACTATAGTTAAACAGCAAGGTCATGGTTAAAGACTGGAATACTGAAAATTCTTGTTCAATCTAAAAGTTAACATGCATTAATTACCTTTTTCGACAACAGACTTGTTTGGAAAGTTATTTTTGTCTTCTAGAACTTCCTTTACAGCCAATTTTTCAGAAGTTAATATCTCATTGATCACTTTTGGATGACCTGTGGAATTGTCAATAAGCTCTACACCTGCCCCATCTCCGGAAAGGGAAGTTACTCTGGCTTGAAGCTTTACCCCTGCAGCGTACATATGAAACCTTGCTGTAGCTTCTGGAATCCATTTGCTATTACCAGGCTTTATACCTAAGTAGTAGGAAAACGGTTCAAAATATCTCCATTAAGTGACTTTCTTCAACATTATAGTTTCCTTAAAAAAAAAGTCATTTTTTAAGTTTTCTTTTTAAAGCACAACTCAAAATACAAAAGCTACTTTTACTGTCTTGGGGATACACATTACACTTCATCCCCTTAACTGGTCTTCCTCTCTCTCTTTTCTTCTAAAAGAACGCATTCGCTCAGGACTCCCAAGTTTTGTTTTCTACATTTTATGATATTCTAACCAGTAAATCCTTGCGCCTTAGCACAAACAACACTGTTAAGACTGTTTATGAATCAGTTTAATATAGCCTTTCAATCAAAGGAGCAGAAAAACAGTGTTTTATGAGACAAGAAAAACTCAGCAGAAGACATCTTCATGAAACTTGGTTTTGAGCTTTTTCCTGTTTCCACATTTCTTATTTTTAAAACAATTAGACTACATTAGAAAGAAAGAATAATTCTGTAGAATTTTGAGTGATTTGATGTGGAAAAGAAAGAGGCAGAGAATTGAAGACTGAAAAACAGCAGTATGGTGCCCAACTCTGTAGGTATCAAATGAAACATCCATATGGAGAACTGAAAGGCCAACTTGCTTCATAAAGAGCAAATGAGCTCCTTCACCTGCAAAAATTTTGAGAAATAATGAAGTTGCACAAAAGCACGCTTACTCCTAGCAAGTTAGTAAGCACTATAGATGAAGCAGAACTACACAACAAGTTCCCTTTCACTGGTGAATCAGTCAGTAACCTCCATGCAGATTACTCCACAGCACTGTCAAGAGCTCAGGGAAGAGCCACCACCTTTCTGTCAACTGCCAGTCTGCTGTGTAGTAAGGCTAAAATAATGGCTCCCACAATTTCCAGAGGCTGGAAGCACCACAGAAATTTATTATAAAAAAATCCAACCAAAACACGCGACGACAAAAAAACAACCCCGCAAAATCACCTTACCAAAAAAAAAAAAAAAAGAAAGAGTTCTGTGAAGTATACCCTGTCATCACCTCCTTCCCCCAAAGCAGCAAGTCTCTGAATGCAACAGCTCTTACAAGAGAAAGAAATCAATAAGAAGATCCACCTGAGAGCCAGCATTTAATTCCTTGAAATGGAAGTTGTAAGAATGAGGATGAGATGTGCCTTATTTTATCCAGTGGTACTTCCTCAACATTTCCGTAGTCCACAAAGCATACTTTAACAGTTCCATCCGAAGTAATGTTTTGCACCAAAGCACGGTACCAGTTACCATCATCTAATTTTAAAAATTTAAAGAAATAAAAATTAAAAAACTACTTCACATGTTTAGCAAGTTTATCAGCATTTATTTTTTAGTAATTAAATCCGTTTTTTTGCTATCTTCTACCAATGCAAACTACCAGACACCCAATGTTTTTTTTCATTTATGTTCACCCTTTAAAACAAAAAAAAAATTAGTCTGTTACTTACCAGAGGAAAAAGCACAGCAAGGTTCTCCATTTCCAGGCTTAAAAATATTTGGTGGAGTTTTCTGACAGTATTCAGACAACGATTTGTTAAGTAAGTTTAGAGCACGTAACTCTGAAAATTAGAAAGAAAAAAAAAACAAAGAAGAGATCAACAATATAAGCTGACTTGAACTTTACCAATACTGTTCACCGTGTATCTTATTTCTAAAAAATTTGATGGGAGGTTTCAGTGACTTTTAGAATTTCATAAAAAAAAAAAAGAACTGTTGACACCTAGTTATCTATTTAACTTACTAGACAAACTCACTAGCAGGAAGAGGTGAGATAGCTAATATTTACTGACAAATTAGTTCAGTATGATAGCAAAATGACCAGTAATTCTTCCTACTTAATCCAAAAAGCACCCTTCACTCCAAAATCTAAAGTGTATTTTACAGCCAGATTAACGCCATTTGAATTATCTGGTTCAGCCACTGCATATGATGGATTATGGGATAGATATGATGGATCCTCTCACGCACTTATCTTTTACATCTAGTCCTTTAGCCTGCTCTGTAACACTTTTAGAGAGGAATTCAGTCATGTTGTGAAGGTGATAAGCCACAAAGAATCTATACTATCCCTAGAGAAGTCAAGGAATATGCTTCCCTCACTTTTTAAGATCTGGCCTATGTTTTCGGTTTGAATGCATTTAGCTTCTACTTCCAGCCACTGAATTTCATCGTGCTCTTTTTCTACTAGGTTAAAAAGCCAGTGGCTATCAGGAATCTTTATACATGCGAATAGAGAAAGATATTTTTTTTTTTTTGACCTATCCAAGAGCAAGTCAAGTCTCAAAAGCTGCAGTTTCTCATTCTCATGTTATTTTATCTCTTTTGAATCTTCGTAAATTTTTATAAATTAGAACAGGACAGAGTTCCAGAAGAGAGCTCCAGTAAATGTTGTATTGACACAGGGAACATGCTTCCTCTCTGCTGTCTTCTGTTTAGACATCCTTTGCCTAAGTTATGGTAACTCTTTTTACTTTTCCTTACATTCTTAGATTATATTTTATTTGACTGCTTACCTTCAACATTTTCAGATTTCAAATCTACATACCATGACCCAATTTCTTCATCATTGAATTTGTATTCTTAGATACAAAAACTCAGAGGTAAGTCTTGGTGCTATAAGCTTGCTTGAAACAGTAATGCATTAGAACTATAAAAAATGACAAATCAGGAAGCAAAGAAACTAGCAGGAAAAAACAAGTTGAATAAACTTACCACTCTTATTTGAAATCTGACAGTAGAATTCCCCAGGACTGTATAATGTACACACGACGACATCTACTGTTTGTTTAGGACTTAATTTACTCCACTTGCAAATTCTTTTGTTCATTGTGTCCTCTACAGAGGAAAGAGAAGAGAAACACAAAGGAAGAAAGAGAAATTAAAATAGTTTTTACAGGAAAAAAAAATTACATATCCTGAACGATCATTCAGGTCCTTGAATTTCTTGTTATAAATAATCCAACAGACTGATTACCAGTGAAAGTCTCTTTGCAGAATAAAAGCAAGTAAGAGAAATGTGCCCGTTGCTTAACGTATTTGATCACTACTGAGCAGGGCAAGCCATAGATGAGTGGTGAAGAGTAACCACACACAGAGAAACAGACTGGGTGGCAATAACCTGAGCAAGAGGTACTCTGGGGAACCTTGGTTCTTGGGAAACAGGGTAGCAGGCATAGAAGAGAGAAACAGCTGTCACCAAGAGTACTGGGAACGGTCTAAGGAGGATAAAGAACAAAAAGATTAATAGAAAGACTGGTTGCAGAAATTTGCACTGCATATTATATTCAGGTACCTGAAAGAAGCATATTATTTAACAGAGTTGTAGAACAAATCATGTGAAAACTAAGTTATGGCATATTTTGAGAAATATGCTCAAAGAAGTAGAAGTTGGTTGAATTTTCCACTCCAGAAGGAAGAAAGATTGACAAGAAAAATAAAAATTAACAAATGGCTCAAAGTTTAGAGAAAGTTTTAGGATGGTTAACAACTGTGAAATATAATTTGTTCATTCTTTCATGTGATGCTGAAATTTCTTTTAAATAGTCCTCTAAACCAAAAAATACATTGTTTCTTAGCTTCTGGCAAGTTAATGAAAATCTACTCTTATACCATACTGGATCCAGCAAGAACAGATTTAATCACTATGTTTAAATAAAGCAAACAAGTTAATGAAAAATTATTTTGGAAGTTGACAGAGAAACATATCTGTTCAAATTCCAATACAAAAAGCACAAGTTTTAAAACACTTTAGACAAAAGTTGATAATCTGTTTAGAACCTGCATTCAAAAGCTCCCACTCAGTATGAGAGATTTAAAAAAGGTAAGTAGTAACCAAGAAACTCAAGTAGTACAAAACAGGTCCAGGATGATGGCCACAGATCAAAACATATTTGGATGTAACCATGAAAGTTACTGTTCATTTGAATTTTATACAAGATTCCTTACCCTTCTGAACAAAGAATATAGAATAGTTTGGATTGGAAGGGACCTTTAAAGGTCACCTAGTCCAGCATTCCCCTGCAGTGAGCAGGGACATGTTCAACTACATCAGGTTGCTCAGAGCCCCATCAAAGCTGACCTTGAATGTTTCCAGGGATGGGACATCAACCACCTCTCTGGGCAACCTGTTCCAGTGTTTCACCACCCTTATCATAGAAATTTCTTCCTTATATCTAGTCTAAATCTACTGTCTTTTAGTTTAAAACCATTACCCCTTGTCCTATTGCAACAGGCCTTGCTAAAAGGTTTGTCCTCATTTTTCTCATAAGCTCCCTTTAAGTACTGGAAGGCTGCTAGAAGGTCTCTCTGGAGCCTTCTCTTCTCCAGGCTGAACAACCCCATGTCCTGGCCACAAGGCATCCAGTGAGGAAGATCAAAATTAACACATAACCTTGGCAAAAAGGCTTCCTCCAGTTTTCAGTAGATGCATCAAGAGAGAATATATAGTTTTACCAGACACAGGATGGAGGAGAGGGGCTTAACATGCTTTGTATGAGAGAAGCTAGGAATCTTCCCACAATACAAAGAAATCTGACGCAGAATTTGCAAATCTCCCAAACTGAAGCTTTGGTCACTAAATTCAAAAACTGCAACTTAGGCATAGCCTTGAAGCTGTATAGGCTACTGTAGTCAAACAAATGTTCAAGGACTAAACGTGGGTTTAGGTGTAACATATACGACAATGAAGATGAAATACTATTTGAGCTGAAGGACAAGGGCATAAGAACAAGCAGGTAGTAACTAGTCATATCCTACTTCAACTGGGAATTCTAAGACTTCTAACGCGAGAAAGTGAAATACTACTACAGTTTTTCAAAAGTAATCAATTGCAGCTTTTTTATGTATGCACACACACACACAAATATATACACTCAGAGAGACACGTATACGGACACACAAGCAAACACAGCATCTTCATGGCAAAGTTGCCATGGCTAAAC